TCAATAAGCAATCCTGAAAAATATTTGGGGGTGCTTAACTTTTTTCCAGGTGTATATATCAATAGGTTTACAATTTCCTCAATCTGATTTCAGTTTTTTGTCCAAAATAATTGCCCAGTATAAAAAATTAAAATGAATTTAGTAGCATTAAATGATTCTACTGTTTGTAGTTATGTTTACAGATAAGGGACACTGTTTGATCTTTCATAGCCCCTTATTTTTACCATTTGATTAATTTTCTAGTTTTTTGAAACTCTTCCACCGTAGGAAGGTCCCTAAGAAGTCTTGAAGTTACCTTGAGTAGAAAATGCTCATCCATTACTTGATATTTATAAAAAACACCTACCATCCTGAAGCATTTTGACTTCTTCAGGACTTCTTTTGAGGCTACCAGATGACGATCAGTCAAGGAATAACGACTTTCCACAGACATTCGTTTTTGCATTTCTTAGTAAAGATACAGAGTTAAAATCGTTTGTGCAAAGTCACACTGCTGTAATGTTCTAGCATTGTAAGTTGTCTATTGTTGTCTAGTTTATGTTTTACTTTTACTTCTGTAAACTGGTTTGTAACTAGAGGGGTACTCAGTAAAGTGCATACCTCCACCATGCAGTGTTGATCATATTCGGCCCTCAAACAAACGAATATCCATCGTTATCAATAGACACGGACCAATTTTGGCAGGACAATGAGAAACAATATTCTACATATGTACACCAAGTTTAATCAAAATAAAATCATTTTTTACTGAGTTATAGTGCAAAAATAGTGTGAAAACTGGCCCCATGTTAACAGATATCGATTAATTTAGATTTTAATGAGCTTGAATTTTCTCCTTGTCCCTCCAAAAACTAATCACTTCTAAGTTGGATCATAGTCTAAATATATACCTACTTTCGTCCAAATCCATTCAGCCATTTTCGAGAAATCTTGCTGATAAACACACACACTAAAGTCTCTGTAAGTCTCGAAAGGTGACATCCCAAATGTAGGTCTACAGGAATGGAAGGAAACACAGAAGAAACACCCTTCACTGCAAAAACTTTGGGACAGTACTTGGAGAAAAGTAGAGCACAAGACAAGAGAGAAAGGAACTTACAGAATAGAGGATGGAAGGGATTGCTGTACCAGATCTACCAAGATAGTTATACTTGGGAAATTAAAGAGATCATAGTACCAACAGAATACCTGACTCAAATGATGAATTTGGCTCATGAGTCGATTGTGGAAGGACAGCTAGGAGCAAAGAAGATGGCAGACAGAATCATCAGCAACTTCCATTGGCCAGGGGTCACCAGAGATGTGATCAGATTCTGCAAGTTATGTGACATCTGCCAAAGGACAATATATAGAAGGAATGTAGCCAAGGTGCCACTGGGTAAGATACCTCTCATATAAGAGCTGTTCAGTGGAGTAACTGTGGACCACTAACACCTGTATCTAAAAAGGTCCACTGTTGACACTAGTCGTCTATGCAACATGTTACCTAGAAGCCACAGCACTGATGGAGATAGAGAAGGAGAGAGTAGCAAAAGCCTTCCTGGAAGTGTCTGTAGAGTAGGCTTTCCAAAAGAAGTCTTATGTGACAGAGAGATCCAATTTACCTCATCAGAACTAGACAGCTCTTTACCACCCTGTACAACCCCAGATGCAATGAACTTGGTGAAAGAGTCAATGGTGTCTTAAAGAGCATGCTGAAGATGATGTGCCAAGAGAGACCACGTGATTGGGAACGGTACCTTCAGTCAGTGTTATTTGGTTACCAATAATCCCCACAAGTGAATACAAGATTTTCACTTTTTTAGTTACCGTGCAGAAGAACATTTCGAGGTCCAATGCAGATATTGAAAGAACTGTGGACAGGAGAAGAAGAGTCAGAAGTGATTAGCGCATGCCAATACATGTTAGACCTCAGAAACAGACTGGAACAGATATGCCAACTCACTCAAGAAAGTTTCTATACAGCTCAAGGCAGTCAGATGAGAAAGATGTTGCACAAACCATCAGCATCAAACATTATGCGGACGATATTCTGACCCACTCAGCTAAATGGTAAGATCATCTAAAGAAACTCAGAGAGCTATTCAGACGAGTTAGGGCAGCAGGTCTAACAATCATACTATCTAAGTGCTACATCAGCTATTCTGTGCTGTACTTTATTCAAAACAAGGTGGACGACCAACAGATAGCTGTGGAAGAGGATAAATTAACCCACATAAAAGATGCACCAGCTCCAATAACTAAGCTACAAGTCAGATCCTTGTGGGGTTATCAAGATACCATAGGAAGTTCATCCCAAACTATAGTGAAGTTGCGGCACCACTGACCAAGAAAGGCCAACCCAACAAGGTGAAGCTGGAACAACCACAGCAGATGGCATTCCAGAAGTTAATAACATGTTAGGAAGCTCGCCAATCCTTAGAATGCCAGACTTCAACAGACTATTGTTCAGGCTGGTGTATCAGCATCAGAATTAGAGCACTACTTCTGTAAGAACATGAAGATGGACTGTTTCCCGTAATGTAAGTCAGTAAAAAGCTATTGAGTAGTGAGAAGAACTGCCCTGGGATTGAACAACAGTGTCTGGATCATATTTACCTTCTGGAAGTTCCAAAACAACCTCTATGGGAAGGAGTTCATTACCCTACAAATCATCAGCACCTTGTATACATCTAGAGGTGCAAAATAGACAGTGCAAGGATAATGAAGTGGGAATTATACCTGTAAAACTACAGGTTCCACATTGAAGCCATCTAGGGGACTGCAAATGTTGGTGCAGACTGTATGTGTAAACACTCTTTGTATATAGTGTTACGTCTCTGTTTGTTAGTTAATTTTCCGTAACTTCGTTCTGACGAAACTTTAGCGACACAAGTCCTTTCTTAAATAAAACTGGTTTATTCTTTCTGAATATAACTTTGCGATACACTTAATTTCAACAGTCGCGCTATAACAAACGCTATAACAACGAACGTCTCACGTGCTCGTGCTCGACAATACTCAGTTCAATTACACACTCTCTGACTGCAGTTCAATTACTCATTATATTACACATTGTTTCCGTCGCTTCGCGGCAGGTCTTATATACCAGACTACCCCAATCTAGTAGTCTCCCGATAATTCATGAAGGTTCAAGAAGGACTTGGCGTGATACTAGTCACGTGACCTAGCTGACGCAACACTGCCCCTCCTTAGTATTGTTCGTCCCGAACAATAGCCACGAACATTAAACCAATAACAATTAAATGTTCAGAATTACAAACACAAAATTACAATTCAACAAAGTCTCTTAATTTTACGGGACGTATCTTCTTCCGCACTGGTCTACGTCTCGTTGGCTTCTGCTTCATATGGGGGTTCATCTGCTTCATTAGGAAATGTTCTATCGTCGATAACAGTCACATCAGTGGTAGTAACTTCATCAAGAGCTTCACCGTTTCCCTTCTCAAAACTGAGTAGAGTTTCTTCTTCAACAGTGGCTTTTTCAGGTGACGCTTCTTCAGCAGCGTCATTTGTTCCTTTGTTCACTTCGTCCCAACTGAAATGTCCTGGACCGTGATAAAGCCAAAGCCTGTTGGCATGCACCACTTTTGGCTTACCTCACCAACCACATTTTATTCATAAAGTCACGTCTGAGAAACGATCCACTATGTCATATGGGCCTTCCATGGAGAAGACAACTTAGGAGACTTCCCTTTAGTCTGCCTGGGATTATACAACCACACCTTGTCTCCTGGTTCAAGGCTGACTTCAGTAGATCTCTTATCATAAGATAGCTTCATCGAATCAGCAGACGTTTTCAAGTTTGAACGCACTTGATGGTGAATATCATCCATCCTTTCCGATAACACTTTCACAAACTCTGACATATTCATAAGGTGGGCGTCCCTTATGCTTGGGTCCCCTTTTAGCACTACATGTACTGCATGTCCTGCACCATTCTTCCACATCTCGCCTCATACTTATCCAGTAAAATCTTTGTCATATGTGACTCAATGTCTTCTTGATTCCGA